ACGCGTGTCGTACAGTGCGACTCGTACATTACCTACCAAATTCAAGTGCACTAAATAATTTCAAATTCATTTTGTAATAATTATTAGTTGTGTATAAACATAATACAATGTTTGTATATTACAAATTAGTACCTACCTACCTAATTATTTAACATGATGGATTTATGGAGTAGTAAAATTTAATTACGTATTGTTTATATAGGATTCTTGGTTAAGTAAAATTCAAAAGTACTTAAATGTTATTAACGTTGACTATTACGTTTGTATTTAAAAATATTAACACATTCAGAACTTACRTGTTAAATATTTCGTACAATATTCTTTCTGTTCATTAAAACATGATAAAGTTGATTAAACTATTAAGTACGATATGTTTTTACATACATATTTTTAAAGTTATATAAATAAAATTCTTCACCTTAATAAGCTGTAAAAAAATCTTCAATTTCCAATTAAAAAAAAATAATTAAGTAAAAATATCAGTGTGAATAATAAATAGGTATATAAWAAAATTTCCTTAGAAATGTAAGCTAACCGACCGACTTGGAATGAATATTTGAATGCAATGAATTATCATAAAACTCAAATTGAATACATCCGGATTACAGTGATATCCTTTGTATAACTACAGCAAATTAATTTACCTGTTGTTTTTTTATTTATTTACAACTATAACTTCGTAGTACTTGTCTTATCATTGTTTTATAAATATTAACGAGTATTTATGAAAATTTTAATAATGTTTATAATAATTTTCTATTTTTCATATACATTTAGAAAGCGATCTTATACCTGGTTTAGGAACGTTTTTCGCCTGCCTGTTATTACAGATGGAAATAGGAATTCTAATTGGCGTTGGTTTGAATTTGATATCGATTTTATACCACGCGGCGAGACCCAAACTTTCAATTAGAGTTAACACGGTAAGAGGTGATTACATTTTTTTGTATTTAACTAATGYACGAATGTCGTATGCTCGTATTACAATTATTTTTATCTTTAATAAGACTGCARWCAATAATATATATTATACTTTGATAGTTTGATTTATGTGATATTTATAATAATTACAGACTAGGAGCGGTATTAACTATCTGATGATGACACCAGACAGATGCTTGATATTTCCATCAGTTGATTATGTGAGAAATATCATCGTTAAGCAYAGCCTAAAACAGAATTTACCGGTAGTCATTGACTGTTCACATATTTATGGAGCAGATTTTACTGCCGCCAAGGTTTTTATCAGTTCATTTTCACTCTCCTTCCACCTTTTTATTATATTATTTATTTATAATTGTTGAAAATGTATCGTTTTCAGGTCATAGAATTGTTAACCATAGACTTTTCGCAGAGAGGCCAGTTGTTATTTTTTTACAACCTGAAACCAAGTTTGGTCACTGTTTTCGAGGGAGTTCGTCCAAAAGATTTCAACATACGATTATTCTACGAGAGCCAAGATATCGATCAACTGTTGAACAAACACATGGCATTAAACAGCACTACTGCAGATGGCTAAGAATTATCTGAACAACTTGATCGTTCTGTGCGTTGCATATCTTTTAACAAACATTTTAATTGATAATTTTTTAAAACAAAATAAAAGTATTTCGATATGTTAAATATTATATAATATATTTTATTAATTGTAGTACAGAAAATTTTTCTGAACAGCAATTGGCTGCACCTATTCTTTCTCCTAGTTCTCACTAACTAATAAACAGGGTTCGGCACTTACAGCCCTTAAAATAACGGATTTTCTGAAAAATAAAATGTAAACAATATTCATAAATAGTTGAAAATGTTATAAAAACGTGGAAATACTGGTCAAATAACTAAAAAAAATTGGAAATAAGCATTTTTTTGAAAAATCGCTGAAAAAAACAAAAAAAATCACTTTCGTAAATTTCATAATTGATCGTGCAGTGGCATACACATATTTTTTATTGTAAATTGCAGTCTACAGTTTTAAAGTACCTATCAAAGATCAATATATTATGTTTTACGACTAAATTGTGTAAACAGATTTAAGAAAAATCATGCGTAATTTTTCGTTTAAATAACTAATTTATGTTGTAAACATTTTAATTTAAAACACTTGTAAAAGCGATGAATGTATTGATTTTACAATGATGTGTGTGTGTACACAATAAGTTGTCRAAATAATGCTTCGATTTTAAACTTCAGTAGCTTTTTCGATTGGAAAGTGAATCTAGTT